GGATTCCCTTGAAGTTCTGGAAGGGCTGTTTTAAACAAGTTTCTTAGGCATTTTACATGGCTGTAGATTAAAGTGTTGTATCCTCTTAAATTCTTGTAAAGTAACTCGCCTCTCTACCTCTGGATGCAAAATTTTGTTTTCTGTTGTAATTGGATACCTTTGAAATCGTTTGTTGCTTAGCATGCATAAAAAACACATTCTAGCAAGTGTGTTAATGATTTCATTTAACCGACTTATTAGTATGTTGGTTAATTTTATGAGGGAAAGTAACCTACAGCTATTCAAACATTAAAAAGAAGGCCTTAGGCCTTTTAAAAACTTTAGTGCTTATATTCCTGTGTTGTTTGTCTGTCTTAGATCCCTTGGACAGCGGATCATCATATGACTGATGTACTGAGGGGTGGATCTGAACTTCCTTATGCTAACTGCAAAATTACATCTGAGCCAATTGTGACACTTGTTTCAGAACTGAAAGAGTTAAGTTGATATGCGTCATCTACGGATATGGCCGTAGTTAATCCGTCACATGGACTCGATGTGTGCCACAAACAGCATAACTCTATGAAAACTCATTGTACATATGTGACACAAACAGCATAATTCTATGAAGGCTCATTGTACATATGTGATAAGAACAGCGCAACTCTTTGAAGGCTCATTGTAAATTTTCGTTGCCTTCAAGTAAAGTACTATCCTTTCACCATCAGTAACTTTTCTCGGAAAAAAACATTCTGCAGAGCACTGTTACATAGCAGTCTATTGCTCCAGCAGAAGGACCTAACAACAGTGTCCAACCGCGGCACAATGGCGTAGTTTGGGACTCAATTTCCGCTAACTCAGGTCGAAACAAATGAAAACAGAAAGGAGTTGATTATTCACCCGCAGTAGGTAAAATATAGGAACCGTAACGTGCGTCGTCGCTTTCGGCGATGGAACAATAGATCATGGATCTAAGCGAGGCTATGACTTTGGTAGCAGGAACTTACGGCCGTGCTCAGCCTTCGCGAAATCCGATCTTTGCAAATTACATTTATCCAAAATTTTTCCCTTCGCGTACCCATTGTGCACAATGAAGACTGCAGCTATACAATCAAAGCACTGTGCAAAGCAGTTACACTTTACAAAAATACACAAAAGGGAGTGAAAGGAGCAGTGTCCGGCTGAAGGAGTGCTAAATTCGAGCTTCAACATCGCTTTATGTTAGACTGGAAACAACTATATATTGACGTCATCTCAAAGGATTCACCACGGACTTGAATGATAGCTTACAAATACGTCTACTGGAAAACATAATTCACACGCAGACAGACAGAGGAGAGTAACCATCAGTGTACACTCGGTTAGCGCATCTATTCCACGATCATTATTTCCAAACACATAACAATTGTTCTAAGTGCTAGAGATTCGAGTCCTTTTGTCATCTTAAGGAAAATTTTGCCTGCGTTATCGTAAGCACAGTGTCGAGTAAACTTTATACCGAAATTTGAAGGTCGGTAAGCAAGCCAACGTAGCTCATGTGCCACTGAAACCATCACGGCTTCTTCCTGGATCGGACAAAATGGGAAGGAATGGAGCTACTACGCCCATGCGACTTCACGTGGGAGAGCAATACAAAGTGGCAACCTCTGGAGTGATAGACTCGAACAATCTCCCACAGGCCCGCTATAGGAACTAGAGTAAGGAGACTGCGGACTGTCGTCAAAGGGGGTAATAATCTCTTAATACAAGGGTCCACATTCAATGTTCTCATTACATGGATTTACCATATAATTCCAAACAAATAATATTGCAACAGAATAAACTGGGAATAACAGTATAAAGCAAAGATAGAATGTATTGCAGTGGAAACCACCGAACAAATCTTTTCATCCAACCTTCGGACACGTCATCAGAAACTGTATCGTCCCTTAAATATCATCTCCCAACAGGGTATGTTGTCCACCTGATGACCAGCAGGGAAACTCGGAAAGGGATTTACGCCAGAAATCAGTCGCCTCGCTAAATTCAAGACCGGTAGAATGCTTCTATGAGTGCAAACTAGGGTTATTTTTAACAACATGGATAGTCAGTCTTTATCACATTTCGCTGCCACTTGGCCAAGTAAACGAGTTAGTTTGGCAAAGAGCGAAACTTCACCTACCGTTTCCATGTTCAGTTTTTTATTGTTACTTCTGCAAGAATTTACCTGGAAAATTAATGTGGTCAGAGCATAAGGTCTCAAGAATTCCAGGAGATCTCACCATATTGGATGACGCAAACAGAATATGAAGACTTGAATAAACGTCAATATTCCGTTTAAAGGCATTTCAGGGCATAAACCCAGACTTTAAAACATCTGATGTGGCGGCCCGCACCTACCACAGAG